GCAATTATGGAAAAATATTCCATTAAATATCTATGAGAGCAAGTAAAACAGGAAATCCAGGGAGAACAAGCCAACAGTGTACTAGCCAGTGTACTAGCTCGTTTTTACTCAAACAAGCCACCTATGCGAAACAAGAAATACGGTTACCATATGAACGTCAAAGAATTGCGCGAGTATAGGCGAACATTTGTGTTAAATAACTGTTGACATCACATATGTAAAGACTACATTAACATATGTGACCTTCCACGGGAAAACATACGTTTACGCTATTTCGTTCGTTCAAAATATCGTTCGTTATCCGTTCGTTTGCCGTTCAAACGCTTCAAGCGTTCGTTGAAACGATTTTCGAGATCGTTCATCGTTCGAAATTGCCGTTCGAACGCTTAGGAAAAATCGTTCGAAAATTGGTCCAAAAGCGTTCAACGGTTTGATTTACCGTTCGTTGAAACGTTTGCCGGAATTTCGTTCAATCGCATTGGATTTGGTTCAACATTCGATTAAACATTGCAATGTTACAACTTTAGAGAAGAAGCGCCAGAATGTGTTACACAGAAATACTCCCAGAAATGTATTCAGTTCCTTAGTAGAAGGCTTGTAAAGGAAATAGTAGGGTTATATCATTTTAGCCTAATCGAATGCTTTTTTGCGCTTCATGTTCTGGTTTATGCTTAGCGTGCTCTTATTTCATTAGCGACAAATTTCACGTTATAAGCTTTCTTTTAAAAATTTATCGTTTTTGTGCTTCGGTAATGCACTAAATGGTTAGAATTTGTGTTTTAATATACTTCTGTAGCTTCCATAAAGCCAAAGTTCACCGCGCGCACAAACAACGTCGCAAGCCATATATTACAGCATTACGAGCCATTATGCCTTGGCAAGGTGCTAATTAAGTTGCATAATTGTCGGAAGTCTGTAATGTATGTAAACAGACAAAACCAGATTTTAAAATCAGTAAATTGAGGGATTTTGCGTGTTACATATTATCGCACTTGTAAATTTATTTACAAAGTGCGATAAATTTAAGCTAATTTATTTACATCTGATAATCTGATAGCAGGGCCTCCGTCCGAAGCAGCTACTGATTAAAATGTATTCAAAATAAAGGACCGCATCCTAGGACGAGAATGCGGTTCAGCATTTCAGCTCGTTGTCTTTAATGCAGTCTGACATGCAAATTATATACAACAATTGAAATACCCTAGCTAATATTTGAAGACATAAATACAGTGACCTAACGCGCGTTCGGTAGGGTTAGGACGAGAACTAAAATAAGGTTCCCCAGTTATTGGGGGCCAGAATAGATAACGAAACATCATAGTATAGGAGCAAAACGTGATCAATGACAAACAGCGAATTAAGGGACCCGGCAGTACCAAGTATATCTCAAGACCCCATCCTCTGTTCGTTATGCCACTGCATGAATATCCAAGCAATTTAAATATGACGCGTGCATCTAGTCTAAAACTGGAGCAGTGCCCCGCTTGCAAAATTGTCTTATTTCCTTAAAAGGGTATATTTGTCTCACCAGATCTAAGCCATCTGGCTCGATTGTTGCTGGCATGTTGAAAGGTATCAATTGGGATAAATATAACTTATGGCATAAATATAACTCATGCATTGTAAATGTTTATTTAGACTCTTAATTCACAAAAAAATTACTTCATATATGTTGATATATATATGCACATTTCAGCACAATTCACTCCCCATGCATGTAGCTATATTTTGGTTGTGATTTGATTTCTCTCGACTAGCTCCTCGAATCGGAAACGTGGAACGCGGAAAAGTCTCAAATCGTACAAATCATAGAGACTGTATGAAAGTAATGAAGCTATATCAATGATGTTCATGTGTGTGACATTGTTTATTACAATAAAAAAACAAAAGTGTCGTACAATGAACATCATAATATTGCTCCGGGAAATTTAGCCTATAGGCTTTGATAATGCACAAAATATCATCTGGTCAACATAATTAGAGCTGTGGCCCGTGTGAAAAATATAACAAAACAGAAAATTATGATCTATATTATACCATTTAAGTTTTGTTGATATTAAACTACCATAAACCATCAAAGACGCCGTCTACAAATTCCGTGTTTTGTGAGATTGAGTTAGCGCTATGTTTAACCAAGTGCGTGCAGCCTTGCGCACAACTGGCCCAAGCCCAAGGGCAAGTTGCCAAGCTAACGTGCACAAACATTTAAGTTTGACCTTTCGGATATTTCGCTTATATATATTTCGCCATACTTCATCAGAAAACGAACATTAGAATTTATCTTGCTTGGACAACATATCAGCTGCTTGGGCAACAAGAAAATATTCACTAATTTTTAATTCGGGCTCCTTTAGGAAATTACATTCCGGATATTAAATTGCAATTATGCATGGTCATTGCACCTTGAAGCCTGCCAGCTAGAGCGGCAAAATGAACAAATTTGAAATGGCGCCTATCAACTGTTTATGCGTATATGAGCGCGCGGGTAAAGATCTTTACCAGTAATTTCGCGAAGACTAAACCAAATATTTGCTGGATATTAACATCTATATGGAGAAGTCAAGGCGTTTTTCCCCTGCATATAAAGGTATGAGACTATACGAAACATTAGCTATTATATAAGGCAAGTCATGACTGGGCCATACTTTATTAGGCGCGCTTGCAATTATTTCCCTCCCAGCATTGAATCAGGCTTATCGATGAAATCAATCAACAGAATTCGTATTACGGTTGGCTCGATTTAAAGTTTTTTTTCCTTGAGTGTGTTTGCCTGGCTAAACTGTAGCTCTCTATTTATCCATGCATATATCGAAATATGACACGCATTCGAAGTAAGTTTCATATAGATGATCATGCATTGTATATACAAGACGTTCTCAATTGCATTTTATGTATATATGCTAACGCGAGTAAAATGGAGTCGGATATAAATGCGCACTGCATAATCCTTTAGATTACTTGCCATGGCCGGTGGAATCGAGTTGGGCCACGATCATCCATCATTCCGAATAAACATGACATGAAAGGTTGCCAGACCTTTAAATGGCTTGGCTAGGTTAGAGTAGTTGTTAGCTTTGGTTTACAATTTAATAGGATGCATTTACTCACATTGAAACAACAATTGTTTGCAAACTTTTCTGACATTTGTCAAAAAATATGTGGGTAGATGCTACCTTGAAATATATACCTAATTTATGATATAAAAGTTTTCGCAAGACAAAATGGATTGATGCTTTGATGCATGCCTTAATCATCTGTCTGGGAAATCTTGATTAGTTAATTTTATTGTAAGCAGCGGCACAAATTGTGTCACAAGTAGATGTCTCGAAGATGTTAAGGATCGGGTGTTTCTTAAATGGTGAGTATTAAATCCCCTGTGCATGCATTTGGCATTGTCGTTTCTATATGGGCGCAGCATTGCTATAAGCTTTGCAGAAAAAATTATTTGCACTCTTTGTGATTTAAAACTCGGTTTCTATATGGCCGTGTGCTATTGCTATGCTTTAGTAAAAATAATGTGCACTTTTGTCTTGCTGCGGGGTTGAGTTTAAGTTGCTTTGCAGGGCGGATTTTCGGACCTTTAGGATTGCGGATTGCCGCGGTCGTTTGAAATGAAGATTTCGAAAATTATCCCACTAATTTATGCGTTCTATTTCTTTAGGTCACTATTGTTAGGCTCATGCAGTTAGCTTAGGCATTTTTACACAGTTAACTATGTAGATGGTCGAATATATGGGGGGAATGAATATAGTGACCACCAATAATTTAGTTAGATCACAAGTATTAATTAGCGACTTGTTATACTGGTTAAAAATCATAACACATGCATATGTGATCGTATGGTCACAAAATATGTAACTAATATGGCGGCAGAAATAGCGACGAAAGAAAATATAGCGATGGTGCATGCAATCGACAAAATAGATTATTGTCAAATTTTAAAATATTCTTAAGATAATGATGCCCTTAGTTGCTAGTGACTTGCTACTGACAGTACTGTGTATAGGCGACATTCCGCGACAAGCTTGACCGCGGCTAAAGCTAGGCTACTGGTGTTGCTGCACGGAACATATTGTGTGTACTAGGTAAATATCCAAGCCTATATTTTAAATATTTTATTACCGCAATGCATTGCTGAAATTGAAATGTGGATTTCATGTGTATAAATGGTGTGGATTTTTAATGTAGTATTTATACCAAATAAGTTTTGACAGCATGCAAGCACACGTTACTACGCTGGTTCGCATACAAACGAACTTTGCGTATGCGATATTCTGTATTAATGTTTGGTTATCATCGCACAGCAAAAATTGTCATTCTTGATTTAAGAAAAAAAATGCTTGCTTTGAGCAAAATTTTGCTCAAAGCAAGCGAATACATTCTTGTCCGTATAGTAAGAATATTATTCTTTCATAGAATATTATTCTTGTTTCAAGAATTATATTCTAGGCAAGAATATTTGTTCTTGATACAAGAATATATTCTTGACATAAGAACATTTTTTCTTGCGAGAATAATCCTAGAATGCAAGAACATTTTTACTTGTTACAAGAAATTTTTTTCCTAAATTAAGAACAATGAGAAAGCACGTATTCTCAAAATAAGAATGAAGGTTAAGAATATATTCTCAATTTAAGAAAGGGTTTTTTTGGGTGCAGGTGCGCGGTACATGCAGAAATGCTTAATATAAATATGAATACTGTTTTCATTCAAGAACATCGTAGTTCTCTTTAAAATTTATTAATATATTCTGCTAAAAGCACCAGACAAAACCAATTTCTACACTAATACAAAAGGCCAAAAAGTAAGTTACACAAAGTGCATGCAAGTGCAACCAATATGCGCAAAGCGCATTTTGTTTCAATTAAACCTGACATTCAGTTCTACACCGTACTGTTCAATTCATAGCTAGAAGAGCCAGAGGGCTTAAGCATTCCATAACAAACGGCAATGATGAGGCAATGATGGCAAACGTGATATGTTCGAATTAAATTGCATGATAATTTGTTTGAGGCCGCCGGAATGAAAATAAAAAGCGAAGAAATGATGCCCAAATTTTATGCAAAAAATCAACTCAGCCTGTCTTCAAATGCGAAGCTTAAGCCCTCTATTTCTTGACAATGTATATTAACCTATCACACATTGCATTAAAGTTTAAAAATCGTCAGATGAGTTCTGCTTGAACTTCAAGTAATCCTCTTTGGCAGACTCAAATGAGTTATACAGGTCTGCAGGGGTGTTCATATCGTGAAATAATAAGCTGTGGAGCATAGTTAGACCTAGCTCATGGGATTTTGGATAGTCCACATCAATAAGATAAAATAATCCGATTAATGCCAGGACTGCTTGCATTATATTCCTTAGTTCCACTGTGAAAATAAGGGTACCTTGGCAGACGAGGTAGGCTGATGTCTTATCCAGACATAACAAAGGAATACCTTTACCTTGTCGTCGGCTACAAACTGTCTCTGGATCCTCGTGATCCTAATAGAAAAACATTAAATGAAACATTTTCATCATAAGCAAAGGCCGTGTAGCATGCCAATAATGATTACTTCTCTTATTCCTCTATCAAAGTAACAATTACCTTAATCACATAAATAAGCTCAATGAGCTTCTTGGCAGACTTATTTAGCTTTCCATTGCCAAACAACAAGTGCAAATTCTTCATAAGCTGTACAACTTTGGAAACTGTAACAATAAACATTTTTATTCTTAGTCATTGTGCACAATAAGAAATGAACAATGCATACAGCACAGGCACAACACAACTGTTCATATATCTTACATACTGTATAAGCAATTGCAAAATGACAGATTTTGAAATATATACACTTACCCTTTCCAGGTTTTTTAGGGAGCTCCATCCTTTGCTTTGAGCAACCAAAATATAACATTACATCCAGCTCTTCTTCCAATCTCATGACACATTCATTCATAAATTTTTTGGGATCATTATTGGCAGCTTTTTCGTTAATCCGGCGCACCTCTTCAATAATCTAGCAAAGATATGTTTTAACATCATATGTTTTTCGTCTGATGTTACATCATATAGCAGTGTCTATGATCATTCTTATCACAGATCACAGACATTAGATATTGTGAATACAAAAATAGGATGCATTGCATGTACCATAATGTGCATAACAGCCAATAAGTTTTAAAATTCAGAGGGAATGGGTTTGTTTGAAATAGCATACTAATAGAGTAACCTAAATTAAATGTTCAAAGCCAGTGTATTCTGAAAAAATAAACAGCCTACCTCTACAGGGTTTTTAAAGCATGGATACAGCTCAAACAATCTTGAGCATCTTTCTGTTGCTGGCATTTTCTTGATACGGACTCGTCTCGATTTAAACTCTTGGTTTAAGTATGAATTAATTACATTGGGCGATGGCTTGCTTTTTTGCATCTCTTTTGACAAAGAATTGTATAATCTGCCCATAATCATATCATCCATGCCACTGACAAATGACTCTGAACCTGAAAATAAGAAACAATACATCAGCGAAGCCGATAAGGACATGCATTCATTACTGTAAGGACATGAATTCAAAGACAAATGGACAGACAGTACATACATACATAGATTGTTGTTCTACTTACTGTTGCTACTTCCAGCTTCAGCATTGCTCTGCTGTTCACCAGTGCTAATATCAGTCATGATTGGATCTACATCGTTGGATTGCTGGTCTTCTGGACATTCAGTGGTTTTAATATAACTGGTTATCTTGTTGCTGGCTTTTTTCTTATTGGGACCCCGCTTGTTCTCAACTGTCTTCTTGTTATACATTCTCTTCTTCAGGCGGTTAAATAAACGTTCCTGAAACAAGGAAAATCTGTTATAAATAAAAACTCAATATCTCCAGTCCACAAAGCCAATTCACGTTATTGAATAGACCTGTTGTGTCAAAGTTAACATACAACATATAGAATACTGGTAAATATGTAGTAGCTTATCACAATATTTATATATGACGCTTACATGGCCATTCACTGGATCAGATAGCAATGGATACGTCACAACAAGACTTTTTGCCATTTCCTTCAGCTCCATTGTAGTGGGCAATCGATTCCATGGGTCACACAAGGTCATGGATATCATGTTGCTGACTGTTCCCCGCACAATGTCATGGACCAAATGTTCTGGTATACTACCACTTTCCACAGCCAAGTCAACCCGTCTGTCACGGTATATAGTGAAGACTGGGGATTTCACTTGAAATGTTGCTGGTGGGGTTGCTGGAGTAGGCTTTGCTCTTTTTGTTGAAGGCCCGGCTTTTGTAAGGCCCTTATCATCTGTTGATGATGATGAGAAAGTATCATCTTCTGACAAGTCAATATGATTATCCACACAGACTGCCATATCAATTTTTCGCTTTTCGACCAAAGCCTTTGTTGTTGGATGAGATTTATCAGTTGGTGCTTTCTCAGTTTCCTATTACAAAGTATATTAAAATAATTATATAGTCTAGTCTAAAATAATATTCTCTGTTGACTCTCACTTGATACTGAATACATTAACATTTTAAAAGATTGTATTAACAATATTATTTTATACCTGAGATATTACTTTCCAGATGCGTGACCGCAGTAAAATCAATTTCATACCATCGCCAGGAATAATTTCCTTTAATGCATCATAACACAGTTCCTTGACATCTTCATTTGTGAGGCCACCCTCTGAAAATAATACACAGGTTAGAAAATATAATGTAAACTACACACGCATACAAATGTTCTTAAATTTAGCAACACATTTATAAATTTGCATGGGCAGCCAAATCTAATTTATACCATCCTGGGGCCGGTTGTTCGTAAGGCGTTTAACTTATGTCGAAATTTTAAAATACAGGGTGTCCCAAGACCATACAATAGCTGGAATTGAATGCCTAAGCACCACAAGTGGATAAATAAATGTTTGACATAAGCATTTTTATGTATGATACAAGGCAGTGAAATTTGTTTGTATACCCACAAATGACTTTTAATACCAATATGCTTTACAAATATGGATAACAATATTTCAATTTAGAACTTAAGCAACATGTTAATCTCCACAACCACTAACAATGGGTGATTTTAATAGTTTTGGGGGTTTTTTGAGTACATCTTGTGAATGACTGAACCTACATTTTATGCATATAAATGATATAATATGTATAACCATTGAAAGTTGAGCTATTTGTCCAATAAAGAGATAATTTTGCTTTCCATTTTCAGCTTATCATAAACGCCTTTCGAACAAGCGGCTTATTAAGTACAGGCCCCTGGGCTGAAATTATCCATTTGTCCTTAGTCTATTTTTAGATTCAAAATGTGACCCGTGCGAATATAACAGGGGACCCCCGAATATGACAAAATGAAGTGCTTTTAATTCTATAAAATATGACATAGCTTTGTCAAAGAATTGTTCCATTTCCATTTCTAATAGCTTAGTTTACACTCGATCGCAGAAAATATACTTTATCTGTCAATTCGTAATGATACGAAGCAAGTTAGGCGCACAAATCTGATTGCATTACGATGACGGAATCAGTATGAATATTCGTTTATATCGCGGCAAAATTTAAATTTGTATCGCGTTGCGAATTTAAACATATGTATGCGACGACAATTCTTAACTATTATAACATAAAATAAGAACATATATACTTACCCTTCAAATTATCTGCGACGTCTTTATCAATCTCGGCAATTTTCCCTAGTAAATCGTTCGACATTTCTGAATTTCTTGCGATAACAAACTTCGGAGCGCGTGGTAAGTTAAGTGAAGTGGGAGTAAGCCAGTAACATGAGAAATGCACCGCCGCACCGCCTGACCAGCGAACTCTAGACCCAACATGCTTTGCAGGGATGATTTTATAATTTGGAAAACTTCAATTTCAATTTTCAAAGTCTCTGTTATTTTACAACTTTGTTGCGAGGAATTTTCGGTTAAGAATATGCTTTTAAAATGAAAAGACACCGTCATACAAATGAAAGGCGTTGGGAGTGTAGATTGTGTAATTGTTTCCAAGCAATTTCACTACGAACGTTGCTTAATCACTATAATAAAGTTCATGGAAATGAGCCTAATTTTCAAGTAGTTTGTGGCATCGAGAATTGTCCAGCAACATTTACGAAATATAATTCGTTATACAAGCACATCACCAGATCTCATAAGGAAGTCTACGATGGAAATATTGAGGATAACGCTGACGCTGAATTTAACAATGAGGATAATATCGATGATATTGATCACCACTTCACAGTTGAATCAGATGAGAGCAGTAGTGCTGAAGAATTGGAATTGGAAATGAATATAGATGAGAACCAGGTACCTATATCGTTACTGTAGCAAAGAAGATTGTTGTCTTTACGAACAAACTTAATTACAATATTCTATCATAACAAAGTGCTTTGACTTTGCAAACCATATTGAAGTGCTCTAGTTTATGAAACTCTTGCCATCCCTGCATGAAATGTTAACAGTTCTCGTACAAGTTGTTGATGGCATGTTGAATATAGGCAGTGGTATAGATAGAATGATGGCAGTTTTTACTGTGCTGTCCAGTGAATTATCTAAATACATGGTATCTCTTCACAAAACATAACACATGTTCTAGCCAATTAAAGATGATGCAATGGTTTGAACTAGATATACTCTCTGTGAAGACTATTATAAGCTTTCAATATAGCACCTGGCAATTGTGCTAAAGAAATATCTTGCATCAGGCTTATTTTTGCATTTGGTTTCCACAAGTGTTCATTGTACAGTACTGTCTAGTAATATTATGTGCACAAACCAAGTAGTATGATTAATTAAGTGTAAAATATTTTATGTGATTTTAGAATGTTGACAATATTGACATTACAAAGAGTGCTGCCTCATTTCTCTTAAAGGTGAAAGAAAGGAATAAAATACCTCAGGTGTGTATAAATACTTATTGATGAAACTTTGGTGCAGTATAGTATACCCAACCTATGTCCCTGTTTGAATAAACTAATTGGTAAATTGCTTCTAATTGCTAAACATCTAGAGTCAGTTGAACAAAAAGTGGATAGTGCTATCCACCTGATAATGTTTTTCAATCTCTCTGAAATTGCCTGTTATTTGCTATAATTCAAATATGAAGTAAAATTCAAATTGAATCTTAACTCTGTATTCCTTATTTTGTAAAGTACATAGCATGATATATAATCTCTCCTTGAAGAGTCAAATTGTGTGGTTTTAGAAAAACTGTGTACGCCTCATATAATATGATACTACAATTAATATGTTTTAGGTTGCAATGGAATCTATAATGGACAGTACACGCACACTGGTAAAGCAAGTGGTAGATTCTGTGAAAGCGGAAGTTTTAAATGTGTTAGATTCCAGTAAAAAAGCCAGGTGAGAAATGTGTTTGAGTCAGCTACAGATCCTTTTTCTGGATAGAAACCGAAGCACTACAGTCAAAGTACATCAAGCAAAACTTCAGTTATGTGGAACCAAAGGAGGTAACTTTAGGGAAGAAATTTGTTTGGAAAATAAACAGTGGTAAGAGACTTATTTCTGAGAAAAGTGAGAAATTTGTGTACATTCCAATACTTGAAAGCATAAAACAGATCCTCTCAAATAAGCGCATCTCTACTATTCTTCTGAAGAAACCTAAGTGCTGTCAAGATGGAGTATTATATGATGTACATGATGGCCTTTTGTATCAAAGTGATCACTATTTTGATGAACACGAGAACACATTGTGCATTGTATTGTATCATGATGAGCTAGAGGTGTGTAATCCATTAGGCAGTAATGCTGGGGTACACAAGCTAGACATGTACTATTTTACAATTGCCAATTTATGCCCAAAGTTCAGATCCAAGTGCTGTGCTGTCCACTTATTTGCAATTGCCAATGCTGATTTGGTAAAGAAATATGGTATTAACACAGTAATGCAGCCAGTTATTGATGATTTGAACATTCTGTATCAAGGATGCAAAATGGAGATCAATGGTGTGGAAAAAGTTATCCATGGGAAGGTATTATTGTGTGCGGGTGACACACTTGGTCAGCATTATTTGGGCGGATTCAAAGAAGGTGTTGGTGTAGCTTTCCAAAAATGTCGGCATTGTCAGTGCTCATTTGAACAGATGCAGACTGACTTCTTGGAAGAAGAGTTCAATCTAAGAACAAAGGAAAACTACAGTGAACAGTTTGATGCCATTGAACAGGCACCAACTCCAATAGTCCAAAAAGATCTAAGAACGACTTATGGACTAACACAGAGAAGTTCCCTTTGCCAGCTACCCACATTTGATGTCACACAGCAGCTCCCCCAGGATATCATGCACACTCTGCTTGAAGGAGTTGTGCAGTATGAGGTTCGACTAGTTCTTCTTCATTACCTACAATCGGGTCAAACCAGTCTATCTGAAATCAATGGAGCAATATTATCCCATGAATATGGATACTCAGAGATCAGCGACAAACCAACTCCCCTGAAGGATACTGTGTTTCATGGTGAAGAAAGATACAAGCTTAAGTACAATGCTGCAAAAGCTGGCCTATTTTTACGACTCTTGCCATTTTTCATTGGTCCTTTTGTTGACAGCAATGGTCCGCATTACCAGTTCCTCATACAATTGATTCAGATTGTTCAATTGATTTTCTCACCAGTAATTAAATTGGAGAACATTGACTACTTGGCAGAACTTATCCAACAACATCTGACCACATTTAAAGATTTGTTTCCAAACTGTAACATAATCCCGAAACAACACTATTTGCTCCATATCCCGTCTACAATTAGAATGCTTGGACCAATGGTTAGATCTTCCTGTTTCAGTTTTGAATCTGCTCATAATTATTTTAAAGAGTTGGCAAGAAAGCAGAATTTCAAGAATTTGCCATTGTCACTAGCTAAGCGCCATCAGTTCAATTTGTGCAGCAACTATGGTGATTCAAACGAGAACCCAAGCTCACATCCACTGTTTTCAACAGAAAGGGAATATGGTGTGCTAAAGAAAGCAGGTGCAGAAGTATGTTTGTCCTTGCGAGAAAGATTTGATGAACATGGCCTTCTACCCTCCATTGAAATTGTGAATGTTTACAAAGTAAGTTGGATAAAGCTTTTTGGAACAAAGTTTGCCAAGTCTGGTATTATTGCTATTGATGTTGCTGGAGACCCTGCATTGCCAGTTTTTGGAGTCATTGTGTGCATATGGTCAATTCTAGACTTTACATACTTTGATGTACAATTACTTGAGACATTATCTTTCGATGAAAAACATCAAGCTTATCGTGTTTCTGAGAGTACAGAAGATGTTACTGGAATTTATCCTTATGACAGTCTAGTGGACTTTAATGTCTTTCATTGCAAGAAAGATAAAGAGAATAATAAGTATGTTGCAGTGAAATATGACCTTCGTGACATCATTGAGGAGCATATTGAAGGACGAAATCCTCTTCACTAGTGACTGGTAAGAGTTTTTAGAAAAATTTTGATTGTACATAGTATCTTGCATGAAAGAGGCAGTCAAGACTATGTTGCTCATACAGTAATTACAATTTATGTTGCCAAATGTCACATTGTTTCAAGATTGTATATTCTATTTTGTACATATATGTTGCCATAGCTATGTTTGATCACTAACAAAACATAGTGTGCTTTTGAAGATGGAACATGAATAAACTAAAAATCCCATTATCAGTAAAATAAGTCTTCAAAATGCCTGAACGCTATACTAATAAAATTTGAGCATTTTTAAATGCTAAGTGTCTGACTTTTAAAAAACTGTATGGAGCCACCTTAAATGAAAACTAAATAGCAGGTAGAACTAATTTACTAGATTTAAGAATGAGAATAAATTTGTTAGAACATTATTCTTGTTTCAAAAAAGTTATATTCAATACGCTCTTATTTTAAGAATTTTATATACTCCCCAAATTTACTTGATTCTTGTTTCAAGAATGTTACATTTCTTGTGAGAATATTATTCTTGTCGTATTCTTATTTCAAGAATTTTGTGTTCTCCACAAATTTACTTGATTCTTGTTTCAAGAATGTTACATTTCTAGCAAGAATATTATTCTTGTCTCAAATCTACTTGTCTTGTTTTAAGAGAAATAATTCTTAGCAGAAATATTTTTACTTATTTCAAGAATTTCAAATTGATACTAAGAATAGCATTTCTCAAAATAAGTAATATTTTACTTAAAACAAGAATTTTGCAAGAATATTTTTCTTGCAAGAATATCCAATTTTGCTGTGCGGTAAACAACTTGATCCTTGCGCTAATTAATTTAATCGTTTGCGCGTCAAAGAGTATAAACAAAAGTGTACAATGGAATCTCTTGTGTTTAGTTTAACATAAAGTATGTATCCAGTAGCTGAAACTCAACCAAACTGAGACGGCAATTTTTATTTACTGTCGGTTTACAGCCGTGTTAATAAAACGGATGCATGCTGTATCGCCTGTATGTCTTTGTTTATATGTCTTTAACCACTCATACATAGAGTTTGTTCGTGGAAAAATTTACAAAACCTGTAACGATGTTGCAAATGAACACGCGCTGAATATTTTGATGGGTATAGTTGCAGATGATGCATTAATTTGACATAACGATGATAATATATACTAATAACTGAAGGCTTTCTAACGATTAACCCGAATTTTGATGCAAAACGCCAATGTATATATGTATATAAAGTATAAAATAATGGGATTTAGGTAGTATAGCTAATAATTTTAGTTAAACATTCAAATGAAGGTATAGCTATTTATGTACACACATACTTGGAACAACACATGTTACTTGTTTGAAAATATTTCCTATTCTTTTAATTAGATAAATTAGTCAATAATATCTTGCGTCAATTATACGCGCAACAGGCGTTCAGACAAATTCGTTAAAACCGTTCATAAACATAAATCGTTCAAACGGCTTCAGATTGAACGTTTATTTATCCGTTCGTATTCTCGACTTTAAACGTTCACATTTTTAGCTGAATTCGTCAAAACGTTTTCTGGGTTCGTTGAAACGTTATTACAGATCGTTCACTACCCGTTCGTTATCCGTTCGTTTTGCCGTTTCAACGAAATATCGTTAACGTACGTTTTCCCGTGGAAGGTCACATATCGTATGGGCGTTATATTCGTATACATATAATAAAAAGATGTGTACGTATACGACGTATAGATTTGCAGTGTTGCAGAGGAATGTTCTAAGGGAACATTTATTCCCCAATGTTTAATCGAATATTTGTCCATATTCGGGTGTTAAGATGCCCATGCAGTCAGCAATCGGGCCATCGTGCCTAATAGGGTCATATAAGGCCATATAAGTCCCAAACGGGCCTATGAGCACATGCTCATAAATGCTCATGAGCAGATGCTCATCCGCTCAATGAGATATTTCAGGCCCAAACTCCTCAAAGGGAGGAAAAAGGGGGGTATTGCGAATGCGAAAATGTGTGCATTTTTAGAGCGAATCGAAATATATATTGGTGTTATGGACAACGCGATGCTTGAAGCATAAATTAAGACACGTATTAACGCTTGTAACAATGTAATTAAGTAGAACAATTTTACAAATATTTTAAACATATTGTCCGGGCACTACACTGTTTTCTTGTTTAGATCGTTTGACTTTTTCTTCCGTAAGCAAGAGTTTGCATTGAAAAGCCCGGACTTGTCCGGGTTAGGACGCCTAGTCATGCAGCAATCGGGCCATCGGGCCTAATAGTGCCATATAAGGCCATATAGGGCCCAAACGGGCCTAATAAAATACCTGACTTACGAAAAAAATGAGCCAATTATTATTAGGAATTTGTTGAGCAATCATCTAAATATGCGTCGCACTCGTAGGAGCTGTCCTGTGTTTAGCTGTGGTAGTACAAATTTAGCAAGGTTAGCAAATCATCTCGACCAAGTACACGATATGGGCACAGAGGAACGCAAGAGATGGTTAAAGTGGAGTAAGAAAGGAATATGTGTACCTCGACAGAGTAAAGAACCAAAGGAATTCGATATGGAGGAGTGTCTGGAAAATTTATTAGAGCGCGATGGAGAGAAATTTATTATCAAGAAGAGATGGAGAGAAACTTTAATGTTTACCTAAGCACTGCAAACGAACAACCTCTATCTAGGGGGAAACGAAGAAAGTACATAAGGGATTGCTAACATTTTAGTTTGTGTGAATGTACTGGACTAGGAAAAAGTACCGTTGAGCAGATTAGCACATCCTCATAACTACACATGAGCAGACATCTGCTCAAAACTGCGTTGCTGCTCGATAACAAGGCATTTACACACTTCTAGTGCTAAGGGGATGAGCTGCCAATTTTGCAGAAGATATTTCAGCCGCAGTTACAATCAGCGCAGACCCGAACGGGAGTATTGCCTACTACGAGAACAAGAAAGAAACATGTCTCAAACAGACTCGGACAGTCAAGAAAGTGATTTCCAAGATGATGTCTCGACCACTTCCACTCAGCAATCTGGAAGTTCGACGACAACGGACTCAGAATGTGAAGAAGAATTGGATCCCTGGATGCCGTTAATAGAAGAAGCATAACATAGAAGTAACACAGTATTCGAGGAAATGAAAGAAAGCCTTATAAACAGTGGTTTTGATGAGCACTATGCTAAAAAGAAAGCTTACTTCAATGCCATGCTAGACTCCAGGAAGAATTAGAAAATATCTATTTAAAGCGCCATTTGTGGATGAGACAACTGAAGAAAGATCCGGTACATAAGAAAATATGTTTATTACAAATGATGATTTTGACCAAGAAGAAGCAATAGAAGGTGCCGTTGATAAGCGAAAGTTTCTTATTAAGAAGTTTTTAAACGATGTGAACATGTGAAGGAAAACAAAGGCAGAGATGATGATGACGACGACGATGATATGTTCTAAGTATCCTGAACCAGCTTTGGTCATACCAAAATGACCCACTCGTGTCAGGTTTTATTGTCTCCTTTACCAAGCCGTCTACCCTTAAGTACACGGTTAAAACGGAGCTGTTGGAAGAACGCGATTGTATTATCAAGAATCAAATAGGTTAAAAGGTCTTAATTTCGAGTGGTATTATACACACTTCAAATTCAAGCCAGGAACAGTGGATGGAAAAATGAGTCAAATATACGTTCTCAATGGCAAGGGCATTTCACCGGCATCGCAAAAGCGTAGGTTCGATTCTTGCCATGATCTGTTCAAAAACAACACACGAGTCAGAACGCGAGTGAACACGAATGAACACCAGTGGACACGAGTCAGAATACGACTCAAGAAATATGAACGCTTGTGAACACCAGTTAAAAAATCATCAACACGAATGAACACGAGTGAACACGGGTCAAAAAATCATGAACACGAACCAAAGATCACGAACACGAGTGAACACGAATAAAAAAATTATGAACACGAATGAACACGAGTCAAAAAATCATGAACACGAACCAAAGATCACGAACACGAGTGAACAGGAATCAAAAAATTATGAACACGAACGAAAGCTCACGAACAGAAGTGGAAATCGCATGAAAACGTGGAAATCGCAAGAAACATGCCAGCCCCATCAACTCTAGGCTGGTTTCCACGAGGGGCGTGTTTAATTATTAAGACAGTAATAAGAATACAGTATAGGTTTCACACACAGGTAACTAGGACGCATTTCAGTGTGCAACAACAATTGATTTAAACTAACGAGCGACTCAGCTGATTTTGCTTCGTTTGTGAGCCGATTCCAAAGCATAGCGCGGCTATATTTGAAACTTTTTTAAGGTATTCTCGATTCGGCCTTGGATCCTATTTCTCTTCTCACGAAAGACTCCCGAAGAGCGGGCGCAGTATGGTTATTAAGTATCTTGTACATTAATACTGACTTAGCACCAGACCGTCTAGTTTCAAGAGGTTCATAATTTGCACTGTTAAAACCCTCGCTGCACGAAACTGAACTCTTTGCAACTAAATTGAAATCTCTGAGCAGATTGCCACAAGTATCCCACAGGGGCGAGCAGTAATCGAAGTAGGGCTGCACAAGACTTTTTCCGGGGAACAGGGAACAGTGGAATGGGAGAACCGGGAGACAGGGGAATTCCCCTCAGGATCTCACCAAATCCTTTTTTAGCAAATGTTTTATTTTAAATTGAGTGAAATATTCGCGAAACATTACCTTAATATATGACACGTTGTTTATGTAAATTGTAATGGAGAATTCTAGATTCACATGCACACGCCTTTAATTTTGGACAGTTTATTCCAATAGGTTATTTCAAGGTTTAATTTTTCCTATAATACTTTATACAATTACTCGATGAGGCTAGCATAATACGTAACAATTATTGAATGGAGTTGAACACAATATGAAAATATTATCAGCCGGTGAGCTAGTGTACTTCAAGTGACAAGGTATTATTATCTACTAACTAATTTGGTCATGGTAAGGGTCATGCAAGAATGTCAATCATCA